GTAATTAACAATATTAATGTTATTTTTAATAAAATCTCATAACAGTCGGAAAAGTTAGGCAACAAAAATACTAGCTTCTTTTATCGTTGGCTTACAGCTAATATTCGGTAACGGAAACGGTAAATTTTGCGCATTTTTAAGGAAATGGAGAAAAATGTCTGAGAGGCCAGACGAAATTTCTTTCCGATAGTTTTCAGAGCGGACGCAGTCATCTCGTAAGTACGGCGGAGCAAAGTTAACCCGCGGTAAATCGAAACTTAAAAAATTACGCGCAACCGAATCGGTACGCGTAATTTTTAACAAGTTTCGATTTACCATACGTATAATAAGAGGAAAAGTAAAATAATGGAAATTAAGTCGCGTACGTTTAAGAAATTCGCCAAGTTTGGCGCATCGACGGTAGGTCGACGCCGAAGGAAACGTCGCGGCGGTGGTTCGGGCCGCCAAGTTGACAATCTTCGCATTGACCGTTTTGCGACCAACGGTACAAAGGAAGAACGCCAGTCTACGTTTCGCCCAGGGAAACGCGTCAGGCGGAAATACAACGCCTAATGGCCAAAAAACTACCATCCGGAAGCGTTTAAACAGGGTCGGACCGAATATTTTAATAGGCGCGGGAAAATCCGTCTTTCGTCCGATTTACGCGCTTCCCCGTCGACGGTTTCCGACGTATTTTATAGAAAAATTGGCCAAAATCCGCAAATTTCCCTCCCGCCGCCAAAAAGTTCGTTTCGGCCGAACGTGGAAACGAACGCGTTTGCCGGAAACGGGCGACGGTTCCCGGTTGGGTTTCCGCCTTTCTTTAAAACGTAACTTCCGTCCGGGAAAATTCCCTACGCGGTTCTAAATTGCTGGGTGGCCGACTGCCGGAAGAATCGTCCCCATGGTTTCGGCTCGAAGCTCTAAGTAACTACAGTATATGTTAACTATATGTATTCTTAAATCCTGCGAAATATTGTTAAATAATTTTGTTTTTATTTTTTATAAAGCAGCTGCAGTGTCCGTATGAAATTTAATAGAAATAATAGTAACAAGATTTATTAATTGAAAGAGCCGGAAGGGGACCCGGAAGAAGAAAATGTCTAGGACCCTAAAGTGGGTTAATCCGGCCCTGGCCCAAGAAGACTCTCGCGCCGTACACCTGGCTCGAATAGCGTGTCCGGCTAGCAAATTCGTTCTCGTAGAGCTTTGTCTCTACACTTTTGCCATTATTAGAATAGCAACATTTACACTATGAGATTAAATCGATTGACTGTGAGAAAAATTTAAAAATATGTATAAAACGCAAAGTATCTATTTCAAAATTCATAAAAGACGTATAAACTTTTCTAAAAAATGTTATTTCCTTATTAAAAAATCTGACATTTACCACTCAAAGTATATTTTTACTCGAAATTATTTTGCAAATTTAAAAGATTCTCCGAAGTACGCGTTATAAAATACCGACATAAAAACCTTTTCCTATTTTCTTTCCAGGTACTGTACCGTATAAGGTACCTGGAAAGTCCGACCTTTGACCGGGATAACTTTCTCGCCTCGTTCGTCCGAATAACTTTACGATAATTTTCGGGTAATTTGCCACATTATTTTTATTTCGCTCGGAAAGTCGACCGGGAAAACGTAGGCGGTACGTCTTTTCGTCGGAACAATATTTGCATTTGTCTCCGCTACTCCGTCCAGTTAAAGCCTGGGCTCCGCCCGGTACATTACCTACTAAAGCGCGCGGGAAAAGCCTAACCGGTGGCCCGCGGTAACTCCCAGGGCGAACTCGGAATAATTTTTGCCGACCGATTAAACATCCGCGTCCGCCGGCTAACGTAGGCTAAAGGCGAATTTGGAAGGAAACGAATGGGTATTTTGCCCGGTATCTACCACCGATTTGCGCCGATAAATTTATAAATCCGGCCTAACGTCCACAATTTTTACCGCCGTTTCGAGTATTTCCGTATAATTTACGCGTAATCGTTACAAAAAGTTAGCGAATATAACGCCGGGTTCTCCTCCATCGCAGAATATAACTTATAAAATAGTCAATTTTATAGGCGATTTCGGTTTCGTATAAACTTTGCGCGGGTTATACGACGTAACGCGCCACCGAATATTAAATACAGTACTTAGGTGATTGGTTTTACCATTCGTCTCTTTTTCTTTTCGCATTTAATCCTTAAAAACCCCTCCGGCCGCGGTGCGAATGGCAAATCGATTTATAGCTCGATTTACAACCGATAAGAGTTTGCTAGAACGAATTTTTAATCCGTCGACAGTTGGCGCGAAACGTAAACCTTCTCCCGTAGCGTCTAATATTGGATAAAACCCGAGAAATAATTCTCCAATCGCCACTTCGGAAGTATCGATATTTACGGTTCTTACTACAAATGGGTCCGACGTACGCTCCACAATTATAGAAAAATATTTCGCCTTATAAAATTCCCGGATTTTTGATTTCGCGCATCGATTTCGTTTCGAAACGCGCGGCGCGCGACTTTTAGCGGGTCGAGATTGCGTTACGTTATCGACGTAATGCCAGATAACGGGGTCGAATTTCGCTAACATTTCTATAGCTTTAAAAAATTCTCATTATTTGTTTCGTGTCGTTTATCATTTTTACCCGAGAAAGCTAAACACTACTTGGATAAAAACGGACAATTACAACGATTCTTTCGATAGAAGAATCCGAGCGTCGTCGTCGTTCTTTATCCACCGTACAATTGTTTTCCATTCGTATTTAATTCCTTTTACAATTTTGCCTACGTTCTTTACTCGTTTCGCGCCGCCATAAACCAGTGGCTAAATGTCGCCGATCCGTTCGTTTGTTTTCCCTTAAAACGAACGACCGGCGACGAAAGCGGATTTCGTACGGTAGATTAACCGAGTTCTTTCGACCTTAGGTAAAAGTCTCGCGCGGTGCCAGGCAAAAAATGATCCGCCATCGTTACCTTTAGAAAATTTCATATTTTGAAGTAGTAAAGGTTCCTGCCGAACAACCAGTTCTAATAACCGGTTATTAATAATAACGCCATGCGACAAACTGCCGGGTGGTAGAAACTTTTTTCATTTTATCATTAAATGCTTTTTATATTTTCAATTACTGTATTATAAGATGGCGGAAAGCTTAATCGTAAGCGCTAATAACCGGTAAAATCGTATTAAATATTACCCTACCGGAGATACGCGCCACCCCGTTATCTCCCCGCTCTCTCGGCCTTTAACCGCCAAAATTTAAAAGCGTCCGTCCCCTAATACGCAAACCTCCCCGCAAAATTTCCACAAAAAAGCGCGAGTTATTAAACTTCCAACGGGGCCAATTAAATCGTCACCCCTAAACGCGTACTAACTAACATCCGTACGTACAGAAAAAAACCCGAATTTTTTTGCATTTCTCGAAAATGTAAAAATCTGCCAGGGACGCTTCGACCCGCGTTACCGGTACAACGGCAAAGCGCGCGTAACGGTCTTGGGATAAAAAAGAAAACTCAAAATACCAAATCTATACTAATATTATAAAGAGGTAATGTTTGTAAGTATGTAAGTTTGTTTGCAGCGGGTAATCTCCGAAACTACTCGTCCGATTTCAAAAATTCTTTCACCGATATTTAGAATGGAACTTCGGGGTGGACGTAGGCCGTATATTATTCCGTTAAACATTCGTATAAATTAAATGATATCATCTACGGTGAAGGCTTTTATGTCCAACAGATGGCGCTACGAGTACGACGCCCTAAGTTTGCTTTTCTGTGAAAATGAACTAAAGCGGATCACCTTCTATCTATTTATATACATAAAAATGTAACGTTCGTTTGTTCCAACCGATTCCTTTGAAATTTTGATACAACGCCGCATTCGAATACGCGCGTGTTTTTATATAATATACGTGTCGAAATTCCCCCCACCGAAGGGAGATGGACAGGATTAAGGCTTACCGTAAAGAACTCTGTTTCTATTTATACTATTTTAGATGCGGTTTTTTGCGTTTTTGATGGCGTTTTAATAGGGTACGTCGACAGAATGTGCACTAAAAAGAAATTTTTCGAAAAATTCCCCCTCCACGGGGGAAGCGTTATACATTTATAATAGATACATTTTGACCCACAACGCGTGGCGAGGTCTGCTAGTTTACCATAAAGTATTACCAATCCGTTACATTAAGGCCGGATTCGAATTTTTATCCCACCGAGGCGATTTTCTTTCCTCGGACGATAAACGTCGACTCTTTTGTAGTCGGGCGATTTCTTAACGCTCGCTCTTTCTATCTTGTACGTTCCTATCCGCCATTTATACGCGTCGGGGAGGATAGGCGCGAGGTTCCGCACCCCCGGGTGTTTATACCGACGTTTTCGTCCGCGTTTCGACCAGAACGATAAATAAAAACGCGGCCAATATGGCCGCCGGGAGAAAGATAAAGGCCGTTATCTCCGCCGGTGCGCGTTTCTAGGTGAGACGCCGAAGAAGACGTTACGCCCACTTTTTCGCGTAAAACCACGTTTTCCTCGGTCGAACGGTTTCCATTCGCGACGGGTGGTTCCGGGTGCCGCCGAGTTCACTCGCGACTCGCGCTCGGCTACCGATCGGCCGTCTCTGCAATCGAAACGAATTTCTTTCGTTGCGGTTAAAATTGACCCAGTTAAACCACCTCCGACGTCGGACGGGCGGAGGGTTCGAATCGTCCCCGTCCAAAACCGGAAGTTACGGTCGGTTACGAAATTCGGCCACGGGGGCAACCGCCCGAATTATCGGCGGAATCGAAGTCCGCCCGGTCTCTTATCCTAAAGGGGTGGACCGAGTTCTTATCTCTCGCGCCACCGATAAGGTCGAGGCTCGTTTCGGGAGGAGAGCGAATCTCCGTTCCCGCGCGCGCCGGCTTTCCGACACCTCCCGTCGTCGCACGTGCGCAACCACCGGAAGGAAGGCGGAAAACCGCCGGAAGACTCGGAATTATCTCGGGACGGCCGAGAGCCGCCGTTAATCCGCGGAAGTGAGAAATTTGGCGGAAAGGGACTTACTTTGGACATGGTTTCCTCGTCCACCTCCGGTTCGGGCTCGGCCCAATCCACGGCGATCTCGTGGCCCCATAACTGGATCTTGCCGGGGATGAGCTTCCTCCTGGCCATGGCGGCGGCTCGGTGGTTCTCGTACTCCACGAAGGCGAATCCGCGGTTCTTGGACTTGTCGGTCACGCTGCTGTACAGGATGACGTCGACCACCCCCTCGGTCACCTTCCTCATCTCCGTCAGAATCTCCTCCTTGGTCTTGTTTTTGGGGATTCCGCCCACGAACAGTCGGCAGTTGTCTACCGACTTGCACACCCCGATGAAGCGACCCTTGCGAATCTCGAAATTGTCCAGTTCCCTGACGGCCCTCTTGGCCTCGGCCGGCCCGGTGTACATGACGAAACCGTAGCCCCGGTTGCTTCCGCTGAAATCCATCATCAGACGAATTTCGTATATGCGCCCCATCTTTTCGAAGACGGGCACCAACTCGTCTTCGTACAGGTCGCGAGGGATTTTGCCCACGAACACTTCGCTGCCCTTGGGTGGGGGGCGCCCGTTCCAGTCGGGAGGAGGCCCGAATTTCCGCTGTCCGTTCTCTTGAACTATATTATACCCGGTCCTGTCCATGAGGGCCAGAAGAGCGGCCTCCTTGCTCTTCGGAGGATCCACCGTCGAAACCTGTTGCGCCATACTCTCGAGTGACTTCGATGCCGGCGTACCGCTCGATCCCGTAACCGTCGCCCCTCCTCATTGGTCGGCCTTCCGGACGTTGGACTTTCGCCATTGGTCGGACGGACGGCAGCGCGCGTCCCGGGCCGTCGAGGGGCGCCCTTCGCTTTCCGACGAGAAAATTAATATATATTTATATTTTTAAAAATTCGTCGCGGCGCTTCGATCGATTAATCGAATCCCCGAGGGAGAAGCGAAATTATTGTTGCCGGGCGCTAGATCGGAAATTCTCCCGGTTATTCGAATATGGTGATAACTAATTCCTAACTTATCTGGAAGAATAGAAAAAGTCTCTCCTCCCGCTTGGATTTAATCGGATAATACCGGGCAAACGCGGAGGCCGGTTGCTCGGGGCCGTCCCCGAGAGGGCTTCTTACCAGAAACTGGCCGCTATATACGTCTTATGCCAAAGGCCGAAAATTTTCCACCGTTAGCCAGTTGGGTCAAACGGCCCGGAAGGGACTAGGAATAGCGGGAAATGTATAGATCGCGCGTTTTCCAACAGATAGAAATTAGCGACTTAACGCCTCCAGGCAACTGCTACGGCTTTTTATAAAAAGTCGCGGGGTTATTTCGTCGAATTCGATAATTTCTTTGCCGGAACGCGTCTTCCCACGCCGCTTTCGGCTTATCGAGTGCCAGGCGTTTCCGGATCCTAAACGAAGGACGGAACGCCAACGACGCGATCCGAAATTTAGGCCGCAATTTCAGCGACGTAAACGCCGCGTAGAACTTTAGTCGGCAAACATTCGACGCCATCTTTCGAACGCTTTAGCGGCGACGTATCTATAGGCCTTTGAGAATACGGGTGCCACCCGCGGCATATTGGAGAGGCCGCGTCGGTTTTCGAGAAGGTTACTCGATTACCTCAGAATTGAAGTATATAAACTTATAATTTGGCGCGGAGGGAATGTCGCGGGACGGTAATCACCCTCCTCGGATGCGCCCCGACTAGGATTTAGTCGAAAACCTCGAACACTTACCGACGGAAACCGAAAACGTTTGGTTTTCCCGAGCGCGATTGGGTACGGAAGCGTTAACGATGCGAAGATTTACGGGTTTCGACGTCGCAAATATAGAGTAGAAAATGTCCGATCTACGGTCGAGAATTTTTCCGCTTAAACGTTTTTGTGGTCGAGAAAGCGACGAAACTTTCTTAAAAACAGGAATTAACGACAGGGAAAAGCTAGAAATGTTCGAAACCATAGTTGTTTCTTCTAAACGTCTCGATAAATAGAAACGTACTTTGTAACCTAACGCGCAAACGGCTATGTACAGCGGGTAACGGCGTATAAACACGAAAGGATTATTTTCGCCGCTAGTAAAAAAGAAAAAGGAAACCGAAAGATGCCGCTTATCCAACGCGTCGACCGTCTCTCGGATCGTATTGCGTAAACTAACACCAACTGTACATACGAGCGTTTCGTCTCTGGCCAAGCCGACAAATGCCTTAAAATTACGAGCCGTCCTCCGGAAGGCGAAACCCAGTCGCGGGCGCCTTCTAAAAAAAGTTTTTCCATTTCGTCTCGATATTTGATTAGTGGCGGAATTTTCGTCCGGATTTCGGGACACGTCGCTAGTCTAGTATCGTAGTATGTATATACCATTAATATACTGTAATGACCGGCTACTTCCGTTATTAGATGCGAAGAATTAAAGCGTATTTAACGATCGTATTATCTATTCGTATATAAATGAGGATGTTTGTTTGTTCGCTGTACACTCCCAAATCGTTCGACCGATCGCTACGAAACTCGGCAGTTACGTACTTCCAACTCGGATAATGTCTACGTCCCGCCCCAAAACATCGGTCGGATTTCTGTAAATCAATTATTTCTAGCTACGTCCGATTTACACGTAGCGCCATCTATTGGAAAAAATTTAACAAAATAATAAAGTAAGTATAATTCTTACAAAAAAAAGACAATTTAAAAAATATATACGTTACGTTACATTAACTTAATTACTGCGATTACGATATAGCCAGCCTATTTCGCGCTAAATCGTTACCGAGACGGTAGCGTATACCCCCGGCTGGCGCGGAATGGAAAGCGCTACCCGGAGTAAAGCCCCAAGTATTTAATCTTTCACATCTAACGACGCGGGTTTTTCATTTCCGAACGGTACTTTCTCAATTTTAATAAGCGCCCTCCGGAAGCCGAGTGGATAAAACCACCGAACACCGGAAGTTAGTCGATTGGGGCGCGACCAACGCGCAATTTTCCGGGTTTTCTCGGCGTTAGTAACGCCTAAATAGGGTACGGTACGTCGTCCCGTAAGTCTTCCCGGCACGCGTCCCTCCTCGACAGTGTCGCGCGGCCGTAACCGAATAAACCGGACTAATTCTAACCGGCGATTATCGCCGGTTATTATTGGTCGCCACGCCGGGCTACAATTTTTCGTCACGACGTTCTGGATTCCTTTAGCGTCGTCTCTCCCCCGTACGTTACACCGTTCCCGTTAAGTACGGAGTCGCGCCCGTTATCTAACTGCATTTAAGGGAAAATTTTCGGTCGAAGTAACGCGACTTCCGGTTTGTAGCGGAAGTTCGTATACGGTTAATCCGGCCTCCCGCCACGCGTGGTCTCGATTTTTCTCGACAGCGCGAATTTACGTCTACAGTTTTTTTCAAATTGCGGCCCAATAATTTTTCCGTAAACGCAATGTTTACGAGAACAAACTTCTCGCGTAATTTATACGGTCCGTTGCCAAAAATTATCGCGGCAGAAAGGAATTATTCCAGCATTTTTACAAGATTTTTTTATTCGAACGAGTCGTCCGACGTTAAGGTTAGCCATGGCCACCCTTCGAACGCGGATCACTCTTCAAATATTAGTAGTAGACCGGTATTAATTGGTAGTCGTCGACCGTCCTCTCTTCCGGGAAGAGACGAATGCCTTCCGCCCAATTACTTCCATCCCTTCTTTCTATCGGACCGGCAATACGGTGGCATTGGAATAGGAAAATTACGTAATACAAAGTTACCGGGCCGGGTACAAAATACCATAAAGTAGTTTTCCGGGATGCCGAGTTTAAATCGTCTGTCCGTTGGCGGATTACCGTTCGATACTCGACCGCCGACGGTACAATTTCTTAAAGTTACCATTAGGAAATATTACGATATGTGTAAAATTTAAGATATATTTTCGATCGGTGTCTACTCGACCGTCGAAAGTGCGCCATTTCGTACCCTCCGACGTCGATAGGCCGAAATATCCAAACTCTTTATACGGTTTTCGTTTTAATGTTTCTTATAGTGTTTGATTTACGCAACGGTTTATCGCGCCGAGTGACCGATCTAACACATTTTAAAAATATTTATTCTTCTACCGTACACAAATTTTTTAAATTGGGCACTCGGTATAATAAACTCTTAGGTAAGACGGCCTTTGTAAATGTAAACCAAATACTATAATATAATAGAAAGGTTACAAGTACGAAATAATCTAATAATCTTAATCTGCGCCGTTGTTATTTTTTCGCCGGGCTCTTCCGCTAGTTACTTAAATGTCGGATAACTCTAATACGGAGAAAACGTCGGTACGTAAATCAGCTGGCGATTAATAGCGAATAAATCATTCTTGTCGTTCTTCCCATGGACGAAATTCGGCAAACCGAGAAAAACCTCTCCCGTTTAGAAAAACAAAGGTATTATAAACTTTAGAAAACTATAAACATTCCAATGTCTTTCGGGTATAAATGGTACGTAGGTGGTCCCGGTAGGTGTGCGGCGGCCGATAATGGTTAACGTCTAATGCCTCTTTTGTCGCGTCGCTAGTATACCTCAAAGGAGGCGCTAATAGGGCTTAAGCCCCGGGGCCCACAAAAATTGAATTATTATCGTAAATTTTTAATACTTTTATCGTTAACAACGAGCGCTGGCGGTATAGGAAAAATTAGTTAATATTCGTAATACAATAATAATTATAATTTATAGTATTATTTGTTTTATTGTAATCGATGTGAGATAATTGGTCGGTAATTAATCGACGTAAATATTTATTTCTCGCGTTTTTTAAATAAGATAAACTATAAAGTTTGTCATTCGACATCTTTTCGTAAATAAATATATTTCGACTTCGATTTTGATGTTATCAAAAATGAATTTAAACTCCAATATAAAGATTCTTAATCTAACAAAAATTGGGGCCCCGTTGGACTTCCATAAGCCCTAGGACCCGAGAAACTCCGGACGGGACGGTCGTAAATTTTAAACTTTTCTCGCCGCGGCTGTAAGAATCTAAATACGTTCGACTTAATAGATGGTCCGTCGTTTGTTTTCTAACTACGGTAATTCGTTTTAGAACCGGGTGTCCGCGGGAATTTACAACTTTTCGGTCATTGTCGTTCGACCGGAAAAATTTCTGCCTTTATTACTTCTAATATTACTAAGAAATCGGTCCCTGGTACTGGGCTAGAGGTGGGTTCGGTCCCTAGCCTCGCAGGGTTTTGTTCGTGTCCCTAATTCCCTAATCTCTTTATTATTTAACTAGAAATAAGTGGAAACAGGCTACTTTGTACTCGAATATTCGAAATCTCGGGAAAGAAGCGAATAGAAATTTTTACCACAACGGATACGTAAATCGTAACTTTAACCCAAGAAATCGCGCGAGATTAGAACTTTTGCCGATAAAGAATAAACAATGGGTTTTCTTTTTACGCTTATTTATTTTACTTTAGTGTAAACGAACCTTCGGTATCCACATTTTAGTCGGGCTACGAGACTTTTAGCCACTGTAAATGATAAATGACGTCCACACTGGAAGGGAGGGAAGGAGGGGGTTACGGAAACCGAGGCAATGGGGAGGGGGTAAAGATTTCGAGAAAACGGCGAATACGTAGAAATTTGAACCGCGAATTTAAATGAGACGCATTAAAAACTCGGCATACGTTGCAAAAAATAACTGGAAGTCGTCATTCTCTAATCCAGTGGTTCTCAACCGGGGGTACACGTACCCCTAGGGGTACGAGCGTAAATCGAAGGGGCTACATGTAACTTTCATTATAAAATGGCCTACGTTAACCGATTGGC